ACAATGGCGTGTTTCAGGAGGTGGGATATATCAGGCAGCAAGTGACCTTCAGTTCTTGAAGATGATGTGATGAAAGCAGGGAAAATGGGCACGGTAAGGATCTGAGGCACGAGGACTGAGAGTAAAAACAGAAAGTCTTTTAGGGTGTTTCCGGTATGCAGTGGCTACCAAAAGTGGTCCAAGGAAGGACAACTAAGAAAACTGGTGACAGAACCATGATCACCCAAGATTCACTGATGCACGTGGGGAGTAACGACTGGTCCAGTCTCTCTAAAGAGCTGCTGTAGCACTAATGGCAGAAACCCTTAGTGCTGCTTAGATAGACATGTGTCAGTTTCCATGCTAAGCCTTGTCCACCACTGAAAGCACCTACAATGACCCAGCAGCAATGCAAGAAGGTAATCAAGTATGGTGAATCATGTTTTTTTGTTGTTGTTTTTCTTACATCATGTGGATGGCCAGGGTTTGACAGTCGGGCTTTTTCTGTGGAAGTCAGCTTGACAAAACTAAACCCCAGTCAGAGATAACAGGCATCATCAGAGTGGTTATCAACTTTCTTTGTCAACTCAGGCATTGTGCTATAGACTCTGTGCATGTTAACATAAAAAGGGGTGTGTAACACGTCATGTGACTCTTCTGTGATCCAAAATGAACCAATGGAGTACCGCCTACTTCAGTCAACAAGTTGTTAAAATGAGAGCTACGAGGAATATAAATTATGACAGCAAAACACGCTGTCACTGCAAATGATGCAAGACAGGACTGTTGGTAGTAAACTTCTAATCGTGTGTTAATATATTTATTTTACTGATCGATGCAGCTGCTGATCTCTAACTGACAGCTGCACATTCAAACTGTTAAACTTTAAGCTTCATATATTTAAACGTGATCTTGTATTGAAGTGCATTTAGGTCTGACACTGTCCCATAAGGCAGGATTTCACTTTAATTTTTTGCCAAATCAAAGTGAAATCAATGTTACTGACTGAATATTCTCTGCAATAAATATCAGACGAATCATTTATTTTATTTTCTAATCTGTTTTCCATCAGCTCAGTACCAGCAGAGTAAATGGACTGAGCAGTAAATCAGAACCAAACATAAAAACATATTTATTTATGTGATTCCTGCATCGGCAACTAAATACATGTTGGGTTCCGATGGCAACATGATGCATACAGTGTGTGATACTGTAACTAAACAACTTCATTTAGTGGTTTTAGTAAAGTAGAGCTTTGAAAAGTTTACAGATAAAACATATTCCCTCAGCTGAGAATCTGACTCGCTCCTAAAGAATCGTCAGGAAATGATTTGTTTGAATGAAGGCGCTTCTTAAAGCCGATTTAAATCTGAAACTCTGCTCCAGACCAGGTTAGCTCTGCAGCATCAGTTACCATGGTGATCTAACAGGTTAACTGAGAGACACCTTTGGAACACTAAAAACTCTGACTTTAGGCTCAACATACCTGCTAACCTACTAATCCCACTTCATAGTACAGCCCACAGGTGAATTGTTTATCTGGGGAAAAGATGGCAGCAGGATGGGCTGTAGGAAGGCAGTGTGATGCTCTGGACAGTGTTCTCCTGGGAAAACTTGAGTGCTGGCATTCACATGAGTGTTCCTTTGACAATAATGTAAAGACTGTTGCAGAACATGTGCAGTCCTCAATGGAAACAGCCTCTTTCAGCAGGATAATGCTTCCTGCCACACTTCAAAACTGTTCAGGAATGTTTTGGCAAAGCTGACAAAGAGTTCAATGTGTTGATTCAGCGTTTTTGGAACTCGCTAGAAAACAATCCAGCTTGCATTTATCAGATCATAAAAGATTTTCTGTTAATATTAGGTGTGGGACTTTAACGCAAAAATAACGCGTTAAAGTCCCACACCTAATATACTTCAAAACGTTAATTACGATTAATTAATTACAACAAAAATAACATGTTCAAAAAAGTAATGCATTTAATCGCAGTTTACATCCAGGTAACACGGAATGTTTGTCAGTGCCCAATTTCATGGTCCACCAATCACACTGATGTGCAACATACGTCAGCGCTACGCTAACAACAACAAACACGGAGGAATCCGATGAGAGAGCATTGCTTGGACTGATGGAGGGCAAGTTTCATTTTAAAAAACTGCCTGATGGAAACCTTGACAAGAGCCTGGTTATGTGCAACTTATGCAAAAAAGAATTTGCATCCCACCAAAGCACATCAAGCTTACGGTACCACCTGAATGCAAAGCATGTTGTAGCAAGTACAGAAACTGCCAGAACTGTTAGCACTAGCAGTCCTGGATAGCGACAAATTTTTTTATCGCGTTATTTTTGATGTAATTAATTAATCGTAACTAAAGTGTTAAAGTCCCACCCCTAGTTAATACCTTTCTGCCTGATATTAAAAACACCTTCAGAGTTGTATGGAGTTCAGGCCTCGACGGTTCTGAGCTGTTTTGGTGGCATGAGGGTGGTTTTGACTTGACTGATCTGTTTATATATCTATATATGTACTGGGGTATAATGGCAGTACAGCACATTGTCTAAGAATTGCTTCAAAATCCATTTATATGTGTGAATAACCCCCAGGAAAAAGTCTAGATCTGGCTAATCCATTAAAGTAATTACCTTGCAAATCCAAGTATTTCATCACAAAAAACCCTGAGTTTCAACATTGCCCACAACTGCTTAACACAGACAGATAGCTAAAGGAACTTTATCCTGGCACAGAGGAAACAGTATGTATAATATAAGCACACCATATCCATACTAATCAAACTGAATAGATGCGTAATATTTAGTTGTTTTACATCACTTTCAAGTCCACGGTCACCCGCTTTAACCTCAACCTAAAAGGTCCCCGACATGTCCAGCAACTGCTCTGGTAGCTTCGTATAGACACCCAACACTACAGCAAAATTAAACTGTTGTCTAAAAATTGACTACAAAAGCTCTTAAGACTTAAAAGTGCATCTTTGAGAACACACACATATCGAACTGAGCGTGCCGGGCATACCAAGGGGAGCCTCAACAAGCCAAGGCAGGGGGTGGTGTGCTGTTGGAATGATGCAGGGATGGACGCACAGACACCTCTTTGAAAGTGATACATGGCCCTGGCTGGCAGCAAGCGCCACTCCAGATCCCCTCAGACAGCAGAGAGGATGCCAGGCTGTTGGGATTTAGGCCGTAATGAGCCTGGCTGCACACACACACACACACACACTAAGTGCCTAAGATCGCTCAACAATGCGGCCAACTGCAAAGATAACATGGATGTGTGCACAAGAGATGAACTACAAAGCAAAACTGACGGACAGATATGCATTCCTGGGCATCGCATACTTGCACACACCCAGACACACAGCAGAATAGCAAGGAGGATATATTGGCCATTATAGGGACAATGCACACTCATCTGCACAACAAAGCCCTGTTCATGTCTGCAAAGACATTCAAGTACTCAGGAACAAAGTAAAACACTAACCTGACTCTCTTCTCTTAACCTTCCAAACTCTATGCATGTTATACCTAAAAAAAAAATGCTGAAATTACACCATTTATCAGAACCAGAAACACACACAAAAAAAATTAAAAAAAATAAAATTAAAAAAACAAGGGAGAATCACCAGATTTTCTACTTGCCATCATTCTTTGAACTACTGGTTTGTGATGTACCATTAGGTTGAAAAACAAATTCAAACTTTGTTTTAGCATTTTACCCACTTAGCCACTCTCATTTAAAAACTCACCAAAAATAAACCGTTTGCAGAGACAAGATTCTGAAAATAACAAAAACTCGACACTCATTGGCTGCAAACTACATTCACATGACATCAATTTAGAGACTGTTCAGCTGAACTGCAGGTTTACAAAGAGCAGATAAGAGGCAAGTTTTTGTTTTTTTTTAAATTAACTGGGCTATTGGGGATGCAAGGTGGCTCAGTGGTTAGCACTGTTGCCTCGCAGCAAGAAGGTCACCAGTTGAGTCCCAGTGAGGACACCCGGGATCTTTCTGTGTGGAGTTTGCATGTTCTCCCTGTGCAGTGTGGGCAGTTCCTCCCAAACAGTCCAAAAACATGTTGAGGTTAATTGGTGATTCTAAATTGTCCGTAGGTGTGAATGTGAGTGTGCTTGGTTGTCTGTCTCTAAGTGTAGCCCTGTGATAGACTGGTGACCTGTCCAGAGTGTCCGCTGCCTTTGCCCTAAGTCAGCTGGGATAGACTCCAGCCCCCCATGACCCTAGTGAGGATTAAGCAGTGTATAGATAATGGATGGATGGAACTGGGCTATGCTGCAGAAAAGACATTTTGGAGTTCTTTCTACTTCTGGCCATGGTCTAGCTGTTTCTAAACAGCTGCAGGACTTTATAGGGCAGTAAAAAATGAGCAAACAACGGCCAAAAGCTGCTTGAGATTTGGAAGGTTACCCTAACCTCTGACTGTACAATCAAAACATTTCTCTTACTATTAAAAAAAATAAAAAATCAACAGCAACTTTGTGCTGCATATTATTTAAACTAGAAGAGGCAAAAACTATTTAAAAAGGCAATAAACAAATAAACAATAAAAAAAAAGAAACACTTGCAAATCTAGCATAGTATACAAGGACACTTTAAGGAATTCTTTTAGTGCTGCCTTTAACATCAACATACATTTTATCAAATTATACAGTAATATTGTTAAGTCTATCACCTGATTCCTTTTTGCTGTTCACTCAGTTGTAAAGTTGTCTGCTGTCAGATTGCTCCAGTTAAATTGCAATATAATGCGAACTATTATCACAGCCAACAGAAACAACGAGTAAAACAACAAACATTAGATCACTGCAGTTTCCTAATTTTATTCTATGCCAATCTGCACCTTGTTACTCTGAAGAATGACTGTTCTTTAAAGACACAAACCACACAAGTCTGCGTAATAATGGAGGTGTGTGGGACTGACCTGTTGTTCAGAGTCATATCGTTCCAGACTTAATCCAATGTGTTATTAAAAAAAAAAAAGGATATGATTGGGAGGCAGGAAGTTCCAGCTGAGGACTTGGTTGGCCAGAGCCAGGTAGCGCTGGAAAACGCAGGACATCTGGGCGTTGAGGTTTTCTCGCCGGCTGAACTCCTGCAGCACCTCCATGGTCAACATGAAGATTTGTCGCAGGCCTTCCTCCTGCAGAGGGAAAGAACAGACAAATAGATGAACACGAGGAATGAAGAGTGATGAATAAAGGGAGAAGCAGCTGACTAAAACAAGGAGACAATAGGGGACTGAAGATGAGGTGGGAAACAAACCTGGAACAGACGCTTGCAGTTGCCATGAAACTCCATGCTGAGGCCGATGCTGCTGGTCTTACTGGAGCTGGAGAACTCGCTGAGCAGAGCGGTCAGGATGGAGCAGGCCAGTGTTTGCTGCAGAGGAGAGGATCAAAGGTTATACCAAGAAAAAGTTACACCGAGATCAAACTCAAACAATAATCATCAGGCAAGACCTGAAAAGAAGGAAGCTTGATTCATGTGGAACAACCGATACTCCGTTCCGATTCCATAATACATACCAACTCTAAACAGGTTTTCATTATGTGTGTGTTCCACTGGAAAAACTACAACATTAAGCTTACTGAAAAAAGTGAGCATGCAACTGGATTTTGATGACCACTATTGTTTCAAAATGGAACGTACAATGGAAATGGAGCAGCTGGAAAACAATAAAACAAGCTGTGGTTGGTAGTCAGACAGCTCACCAAAGATCCAAGGAAACAAAAATATGAATGAAAGCTTTGGAAAAGCATTTGTTTTCTTGAGGAGAAGATTAATTGGGAGTTTTGTTCCAAAGTCACACTGGAAAATGACTTCTGTCTGAGTACATATTGCATAATTTCCTGCACCAAAGAGTAAAACAGGGTTCCACAGTGAGACCAGTCTGGTTGCACATGTGAACAAAAATCTGTCATAAATGTTTTCATTGTTTGAACTGGAAAACCTGATATTTATTAAATCTAGGTAAATCTTACATTAGAACACCTTTTTTCCACTCATTTGAGACAAACATTTGGTCACATTCTTGCCTGTGCTGCAGTAACCAGGTGGGGACTAGAGGCTTCTATGCGCACAGCTGATGCACGTGAAGCATTTACGGGGCATCTGTAAATTATAGCATCTGAAGCCACAACAAAATTGTCAACAACAATATGCATTGTATTGCCAAAGCATGTCTGGAACAGCGCTTTTGTTGTCCGAGCATCAACAGTCTGAATTAAAACATCCAAAAAATAAAACAAAATGTCTCCAAGAAACTCGTCTTGTGCAGTGACAGGCGTGTGGTTGGCGCAGCAGTCTCCCCAACGGCAGCGTTTCAGAGCCAGACGGCAGCAGACCAAAGCAGTGAGAAACCAGAAAAAAATAATAAAATAAATCATATCCAAAGCAGATCTCCTTTTTCCAAACTTTAAGTCCTACATCATCCTGATGATAAAGAACGGGTTAAATGTACATTCGTCTGCAAATTTTTTACATAACGTGTTGAGAAATGCGGCAATGTTTACATGCTATAACTCAGCATCAAAAGAGACTCCTTTTGAGTGCACCCAAATGAAAATCTTTGGTGTACCAGTGTAAAAACTATATTGATTTTCTTTGTCCACTAAATGCAAAATTACACTTGTGTAAATTGTTAATATGTAATATTTGGAAAAACTGTTGTATGACATAAGTGCAAACAAAGACTACAAACAAATTCATCACATTTGATGCTGTCAGTAAAGTTACCTTCCATAGTCTGTGAATGAGTCTTGTGTGACTATTTTTGGTTTGGAAAAATAAATGAAGCAGTGCCACCTACTGGATAAAGCCAGATTTGTTTCAGAATGCAGATCAGCACTGAGAAAAAGTTGTGAGTTTATCTTTCAAAATGGGAGAGAAATATATCACCTTCATGTTTCATAAGTGTGCTAAGTCCCACCCGTTCACATATTCAGCCCTCATTGGTCTTTTTAATGACATACGGTGACGCCAAAAAATTTCACAGCACCAAAAATGTCGTCAAAACTCATCCGAGTGCAGGAGCAAAGACAACAGGCCTTAAATATCATACTTCCATCTAACCACAGGAGCACGCCTGGAGCTTCTTTCCCAGTTTGGCCTTTGTGCCATTTTTTATTTTCAGACTGAGCTCTCTGTACTGTGAGCCAGATCCCATGTAAGAAGTCAGTAACCAGGGCAAAAACGTGGCCCATCAAGGCAAAAAATATGCTAAATGTGACCCCACTTTAGCTAAAAGAAAACATTCTCATTTAAATGCTTTCTATAAGTTCCATATTTTCAGTGACTTCTTGAATTCTGATTGGTCACAACCATCACACATGTATTTCATCCATTTTATGAAACATGAATAAACTGGAAAATTATACTTACTTCTTAAAATGTAGCATTTTGAGCCAATATCACATTATGCACATCGGTATTTATTCATTAAAAATTCAAAATAACTCTTTTGATAACTCCGACCAATGTGCATAATTAAATAATGAATAATTATGTCTGTGTGTGATCCTTACAGTCTGTAAATGTGAAATCTCAGGTATTTTCTTCTCAGTTTAACAGACACTTGCACAAAGATTGAACAATCGTGCGTCTTGCATATGAGATGAAAACAAAAATCCCCAATTCAAAACTTTACTTTTTCGATGTAACTAACATGAATCAATAAAAGAAACATCACATGCTTCACTAAAAGCTCTGCATCTATAATTCAGGCGCGTGTCTCTCACCACTATGGGGTTCCCACTGCTGATGAGCTGTCCGACCTCATGAAAGATGCTTTTACAGCTGATGCTTTTGTCTAGAGAGCCTCTTTTCACAATGACCGCCACAGCCAGCAGGATCTGCTCACGGACGTATTTCTGCAGACTGGACGGACAAACAAAGAGACATTTAGGCAGTAAACAGATACTGTGAGAGGTTGATATATAATAATGACAACCACAGGGACTGAAAACAGTTAAACATAAAGTTAAATACAAGTGTTGTGTTTGACATTATAGCAGGAAAAGATTTTTATGTCTGTTGTGTTTTTAAAATTACACTGACTTTAAGTAAACAGAAATCCTTTTAAATGTCTGTGGAGAGATTTTACAACCTGCAGCAGATCAGAGACTTTGTAGACTGTACGACAAATGAATATGAGCATTTGCACAGACTTAAATGTGCGATGTGGAGCAAGTATGAGGAAGCTATCAGATGCCACTGTGCAGACAAATGTATGCAATACAGCTCAAATCTGTGCAATATCAATACTTCACACTCGTGCAATATTATTGATATGCGCAATATTATTATTATCTTATTATACTATTCATATCTGGAACATCACTGATTTTCAACATTTAGCAAAATCTCATACTCAACTCATAATGTGTCCGGGAAACGAAAGGTTTGCTAAAGATCATTAAGGATTGTTGGGACAGTTATTCAGACTTATAACACAGAAGACCAGTTCTAATGAGGTACCATTCAACCACTGAGGTCAATAACACATATTTAATACTACTGTAAGAGATGCAGGTTTTATGAAATGCTGCTCCTCCTTACTTGGGCCTCTGTAAGACGTAGGTGAGAAGGAATGCCCGGAGCGACTCGATGCTCGTCTTTTCCAGCAGGATCCACTCCCGCACAACGGCCTCCATGATGGCAGTAGCTGCCTGGAACAGCACATAGTCCACTTTACTGGTCTCTGCAGAGGGAAAACAAAAATATATAAGGAGGGAGAACAATAATGGAGAAATGCAATGCTTAAAAGTGATGAGTTAAAATAATCTGCAGGAAAAACTCCTGTTCTGCCCTGCAGATCAGACTTGTAAAGACACATTAGTTAGAAGGAGATTGACCACAGATTTTGGTACAAGGTAGTTACATATAAACTGAATTTATATTAGGGCTGTACAACCTGGGGCAGAGGGGAACTGACATCATCATATTGTGTTTTTTTTCTATTATTTATTTTGTTATGACAAAATATAAAATTTTAACCAGACATTTTAACCAGACAACTGTGTTTAAAAAAAAAAAACAAAAACAAAAATGTAATTAAATTTAAAAAAGCAAAAAGCTCCCTTGAACCTTTCTCAAGGTGCAACACTGAAAAAGACATCCAGACTTCTTTTTTTTTTTTTTTTAGATCTGACTTTTCATCACATGGAGCTTTGTGATGCCAATTTAAACAGTGAAACAACATCGTTTTGTCACCTCAAAAAGACATCCAGACTTCTTTTTTTTTTTTTTTTAGATCTGACTTTTCATCACATGGAGCTTTGTGATGCCAATTTAAACAGTGAAACAACATCGTTTTGTCACCTCAAATAGTGGCCACAATTGCAAGACACTGTTGACAGAGTTTTTGTTCAACATCATAGTCCCCTGTTCTGCTGTTCCTATGCAAATAATAATGGAGTGATTTAGAAATGAAAATTTGGAAAAAGCAACAGCAACGAGGAAATTATTTAATGTTGTAAATAGGATATGCAGTGAAAGTTGTATTTAACACTCTGTAAAGCTGATGAAAACATTCATGAATGTAGAATTTACTGTATTACACTCTGTTAATAAAGGATACCAGACTCCTGCATACAATAAGTAAAAGACTGAGAAAATATCAGAGTCTTTAGTTTGCTTCTAAATGTGGACACGGCTGGGACGTATCTCAGTCTGCAATGCGCTGCCGTACATCTTATCTGAACCAGCAGCCTGGTCAGAGCAGCACAGCGGCAGCAGTCATGCATCAGTGTCTGGACCGAATCGGCTCAGCTCCAGCACTACTGTACACGGGGAGGCACAAGACCGAGTGAAATAGACCCGAACTGAAAGATAAGTGTTTCTTATAATGAAGCACACGCCCTTATGTCGCTGCTTCACACAGATGTGCAGGTTGCAGTGAAAGTATTTGTTCTGTCAGAGAGATGACACAACTGAAACAGGTCCTGTGGGATGTGGATTTATTTTGCTTAGAAGTGAATCTGTAAAATTAGAGGTTGCACTGTTTATCTCCACTAATCAACTGAGAATGACATTCTGTCTGTATGGCGCTCCGTGGCATGAAAATGTGCATGTAGACCAGGGCTCCACTAACATTTTCACTGGTAGCACCAATGCGACCGACTTCATTATTTGGCCACACCTCCCGTCTTGTCACAGGCAAAACACATCACTTGTTGAACAGCTGCTTATCGATACTCTACAATTTACAGATGTTCCCTAAAGGCCCCACAGTGCAGGCTGCGGTAGCTACTCTTGCTGGCTGCAGTACTTTGAAAAGAGGTAAACTGGGGCATTCTAGTGTCAGATTGGTCAGAGATGGAATAGAATCTATTTTTTTTTTTTGTACAATAAGGAGCGCACCTACATGCGCTGTTCCGCTCATGGAAAATAACGAATGCAGGTTTGCTCCACAGTTCATAAGACAACCGCATTTGTAAGTGTAAATACCGCAGTCCACCAAAGTTATAAAAGTGTTGCTTTCCACCGCTGTGGTTAACACAGTTGCTGCCTGCCCCGGTCACAGTGACACCAAACCAGCTTAATGATCACCATGCACTGGCACCAACACGAACAGTTGAAATTTCAACTTGCACACTCTCAAAAAATGGTCACAGTCTGGAGCCCTGACGTAGACATCACAAAGGAAGAGTTGTCAGCATAACATCAGAGGCTGAAGCTCAGATTAAATGGAAAGTGAAATAAAACAGTCAATATGGCAGTAAAAGTGCCTTTGAGCAACACAACTCTGCAATTCTCATCTGTATAGAAAAAGAACAGTCTTCCTGATATAAATTCATCTTTATGAACATATTGAAAGCTATGTGATGAAGTCAACAGTTACCTAAGATGTGCTTGCAAATGGCAAAGGGGGATTTGGACTTCCTGAAGGAGAGGAACACATGTTCTGCATGCTGCCTCTGTTCTGTGCTGACCATGGACGGCGGTGCCTGGAAACAACAAACAAAATGAACAATTAGAAGACAAGGCTCAAACTCCCAAAAATGAAATTAAACATTTTGTTTATAGTTTTAAAACCCACACTACTGCAAATATCAAATTCAAGTTTACAAGAGTGAGTTTCAAGGTGTTGTCTGCAAGAATATAATATTATATACAGCATTAGTAATGAAACCTGTTAGCACAGTACTGATAGACTGATGTGGAAACATGATTTTAAGTTGCTCAAAAAAATACAATGACAAAGATGTGATTTGAAATGCAAATGGACAAAATAAAAACATGGATTTTACAGTCAAAAAAGGAAAAATTCTTCAACAAACTTAAACTACAGAGAACACCACAATCCTCATTCATGTCGTGACTGATTTTCTGAATTATTTGAGATGCCATGAATGCACAGAGGGTGTTTGGTGAATGTTCCTGCAGCGTTCAGCACCTCACATCAGCACAGCCACGGCCTCACATACCAAACACCATGATTATAGTAGAGCTGCAGCTATTTGTAGTTTATTTGTTAACTATTAAAAGAACAAGAGCAATTTTTTAAAAGAAATAATTGCAAAAATTCTCATATTCCAGCTGCTTACATTTGAACATTTGCTACTTTCTTTCCCCCTCTATGACAGTAAACTGAATATAGTTGGGTTGTGGACAAAACAAGATATTAAAAGGATGATATCGAGCGCTGTGAGGAACACTGATTGACATTTTTCACCTTTTTCAGACATTTTATTGACCGAACATCAAGTCAATAAATCAAGAAAATAATCTACAAGACAACAGTCCTACTGTTTAGTAGCCAGATTGGTATTTTCTGATGTTCTAAATACTTTTGTGTCAACACAAATAACAGACAACACTGCCTTTTATACTTCATTATAAAATCAATGCAATTAAAAAGACTATCTGAAAACCTGATAACAAACATCCTGTTACTTCTTCATGGTACTTTTTCCTGTTTTGTTTGAACTTCATAGAAGGACAAACCTCACAGAAGTACACAAAAGACAGGCAATAATAACACAAACACCCCACAATGATAATAAAAAAAGGCATTACAGCTCCAAATACACCGGCGTAACACACACACACACACATACAGATTTTTATTGAGGAGTGTCTCCATGACACAGCTCAGCAGGAAAGTCACATTCCAGGCCTAATTGCAGTAAAAGCAGCTCTGCGGCTGAAGGCAGCGAGGAAAGAAAGACCTTTTTATCTGAGAGAACACCACACACACACTCACTTCAACCCACATTATAGACTATGATGAGATGGCACACACACACGACACATGAAAGACTATTAGCATAAGTTCAAGGGCTTAACATCAGCACAAAAAGGGGAAAAAAATGCATTTGCATGGAATATTTACCTTGATGGAAATACATTTATATATTTTAAAACAGAAAAAAAAAAAACGTGTATTGTGACCAAGCTGATCTCATAAAGGTTATAACGTTCTTTTTGGTTTTAAACTGTTGAGGAAGGTGATTTATTTTACGGTGCCGTTTACCTGTAATGTGTTTATATCAGGATATTTGGTCAATAAAATATCTGAAAATAGTGAAAAATGTTGATCAGTGTTTCCCGAAGCCCACGGTATCGTCCTCAAATGTCTTCTTTCGTCCACAACCCAACAATAAAAGCTGAAATCTAAATTGGGAATTGAGAATTTTGGCAAGTGTTTCTCTTAAAAATAATTGATGAATCAAATGAAATATCAATTATTACAGGTTAAAAAGTTTCTTATTGTGTTAAACTGTTGAGAAAAGTGGTTTGATTTATGGTGCCGTTACGACTGAGTTACAAACATCTCTTCACATAACTCAATACAATTCAGCAGCACGACGCTCCAAGCCAACGTACTACTAGACCGTGATTTTGCAGACAAAGCAACGCTAGACAAACAGGATCAGATGTCAACACACTACACAGCTCTCAATTACAATCACCGCAATTAAATCTAGTAAATAAAACATGCAGGAGTTTGTATCATTTCCAGTATTGTCTCAACTAGATGTGAAAATGACTGTGTGGGTTTGGGATGTCTATGCACAATGATGGAAAACTAAACCACAACTATAGGAAACAACTCTGAGTTATTATTTAGAGGTGTCATTTGAAATGTGTACAGACTCACAATGTGACTGCTTATGCTTTAACGGCTCCCTGACTGACAATCTCTGTGTTCCAACTCCAGCAAAGTCCTCTTTTTCTTAATTGTACCCTCGTTCTACACTTATTTCCTAACTGTCTTTGTTTTATCAGACAGAGAGGGTAAAATTGATCTAAAAGGAATCAAGACATTAGAGATGTTGAACTGGCTCAACACCAGAGTTGAGCCAGTTTCCCTGAGCGCATCAACAGCTTCTTTCATGAGAGGAATCAGCCTCAAATTACGGCTGAACAAATAATCAATACCAAACTGAAATCCCAATTTAAAATAAATAAATAAATAAATCAAATCAACAATTCTCAAAGCCTGCAATTGAAGCTAAATAAGGTGTGGGTAGTAAGCAATGAGACTAATGCTGCTGAAAGCTTTGCAAACTCCTGCCGTCCTCCTTGTGTAACAGTCATGCTTTTGATGGTATCTCATATTTCTTCAGCCAGCACAATCTGCACATTATTTTGCACATTATTTTCTTTATTTTCCTTAAATGTAACATGTGTGAGCTACTGGACACGTTGAATTTCCCTGAGAGGATGAATAAAATATCTATTGTTCTATATATATTCAAAAATAATCTCAAAAGAATCAGAGCAAGAGCACAACATCTGAGATTTAGATTTGAGTTCAGCCTGTTTCCACGAGCTTATCAGCAGCATTATTCATAAGACAAGTCAGCCTTGAACTAACAATAAATAATCAATATCGAATTTAAATACCAATTTGAAAAAAATCCCATTACCAAATTGCAAAGGCTGCAGTTTAGGGATATACGAGGTGTGGCTATTAAATAATGTGACTGATTTATTTTGACGTAATTCAAGCAAACTGAAACGTGTTC